AACCCTTGCCCCCCCCCCCCCCTCCCCTCCCAGGAGGCAAGACTTGCTCCCCACACTCGAAGCTGTTTCTCTGGGATGGGGTGCCCATGCACACCGGCATGACCTGTTGCCCTAAACTTTACTATGCCAGTAAAATCACAGTCCTTTCACTGCTTCATGCCAGGCCTCTTTATCTCCAGGGAAATGCCTGCCAAGCACAACAGCACAGTCTGTGTAAAATAAACATGTTTTAGGCCCCTTCACTGCTCTTTTTCACTTTTCTTCCCTTTTCCTCCCTAGATGCCAATAAAATACTCCTCCTTTTGGGGTTCCCTCCATGACAGTTGGGTGCTCTTCCAGCTCTCTGCCGCCAGCCTTAAGTTCAGTTGCTTACTCAATGGGGAATGGAGTCTGTCAATTCTAACGCTCGGTGTTAAACTGTAGAATTTAAAAGCAGTTATAACCTTAAGCACAATTATTTAATTGTAGCATTTAGCAGATTGCAGGTTGAAAACACTATATAAATATCAGGCTGGATTTTCAGGCTATGTACTTGAAGGCAGGGCATGGAGGTTGCATTGCCTTTCCATTATCTTTCCACCCATTGCCATGTCGTTAACGGCAACAAATAATAGCTACAGGGGTTGCTGTCGTTTCCTCCATCTTGCAACAGTGTCACAGCCTGTTCCTTGGTCAGCAGTTGCTGGAGGGAAGTGTTCTCTAGAAAAACTTCACCTTCTTTTGAAATGCCTTCTCACACCTCCATGCCAAGGATACTGGGAGTGTGAATAGTCAGTTGCATGTTCAAGACAGGTTTAAAACCTGTTCCTGGAATTTGGCTGTGTCTGCACAGGAGGATGCTCTGCAGAACACACATCATTTGGGGATTAAATAGCCAGTGCAGAGCTCCACGATATTGCGACTTAGCTGCATCTGTCCCCAAAGAGCTTAATTCACAGGTATGCTTGCACTATATTAACTTTTCCCTTTCTTCAGATAACAGAACATCTCCTGAAAAAGGCAGTTTGTGAACTGATTCTTGTTTTCAAGAAACTTATGAATTCTTTCCAATGTTTTCTTTCAGAGGCTTTTTTCACTTTTCAAAACAGATTGGTGGGGCCTGTTCTTGTGACTCAAAGTGTGAATCTCCTGCATGCCTTGCTTGTGGGGAAACCGAGGCAGAGCGTGAGGCCTTATCTGGAGTCACCCTGCAGGCCTGTGATGGAGATAGAAATAAAACCTCTGATCCCTAGTACATTGCTCTGTTCGCCATTCTGTGTCTCACACTGTCATATTTCCCCTGATGGACAAAATTCTGGATTTTATCATCACAATCAGTAGACTGTTGTTCAGGAATAGTTCATCGAGTAACTCTTTCTGCTGTATGCTTCCAATCATTGGTCTTTTATGGTGAAGACTTGGTACTGCTGTTAAATGTTATAGTGACCCAGAGATACCAGCTGACTATTTACACAGAATTATCTCCTGATTTTCAGCCAGCTAATTGGTTGCAGTGGCTTCTACTCTATTTTCTCTTCTTGAGTCTATGCTGACTCTTTGCTGATCACTCCTATTGCCTTTGTTTCTTTCACATGCAGCTTGTTAAATTAAGGTCATCTCGAAGTGTCTTTGTCTTTGCCAAACTACAATTTATTTGTTTCAGAAAGTACTCAGTTTCCTCGTGAGTAAATATGACCAATGCTTCTGCTTTTCCTCCCCTCAGCAAATACTGAATAAGCCAGAAACTTTCATATTGTCCATTTCAATGAGATCTCCAATAAACAAATTTCTCTGGAAAAACTACTTAGAGTTAGATCATCCAAACCCAGAGTGACAGTAACCTGTGTCCACCTGTTTCTCAATTGCTATGTGCCTGGTCTCAAGGTGAGCCAATATTGGCTTTTTTCTTTTCTCCAGAGGGGTTTAAACCCAAAACACTTTATAGAGTACCCTAATGTTCAGCCTAGCTTGCTCTACCCAGCAAAGGGCTTCCAGTAAACTGTCATGACAGTAACACCAAACCTCCAGGAATAGGCTGTCTTTGGCTGACGGCAGAATACCAGGGCTGTTGCTCAGCCTCAGATGGATGACGTACATTACAAGCAATCTCTTAACACAGGACTACTGTACTTAGCACTTTGTCACAGGCCTGTAAAGCAAATGTTAATCTATTTTAACATTTGGTACACTTTGTCCTCTGCTGCTGTGATCAGAAAGTGTGCAACCACTTTGTACTATTTAGTGTTCACCACAGCCACTGCGCTACACAGATTTACTCCAGCTAATCCTGAGAAGAGCCCTGTTTACATTTCTACAAGATGGGTAAAACTTCCAGCCTGACCATACAGAGGGAGTATATGTCAGAACAAATTAGACTGTGATCTTTCTGGGGTGCCGATCATGTATGCAAGCCACAGAATCCAGGCACGGGGCTTTTTGAGCATCCTCCCACTGCATGATCTGCCTTGCAGCTGGTGGTTACATAGACACCTTCAGAGACTGTGATGCTCTGTGGCTTTTG